GGCGATCCTGTTTAGCGCTCGTTGGCACCTTTCAGTTTCTCCGCGCGCGACATAACATAACCGAGCGTGAGAAAGGCCCGGGTCCGAAGGCGGAGCGGAGGGGGCGCCGTCCATCCACGTCATCTAGCGCACCTGCTGCTCTGCTCAACTCTTTATATTATCGCGTTATTTTCATGCTATTTTTTTTTGTTCTTTTTCGTGAGAGGAGTTGTTGTCGCTGTAGTGCAGCTGCAGCCTCTTGCGGTCCGCCAGCATCATGGGTTTGCGGCGGGGTGTGCGACTCACACTCACACACACACGCAGAGTATATCTTCCCTATAGATCGCGGCTCGAGGCCCATGGGGCTCGCGGGGCCGGGGGCTGCACTAGCGGCTGGGTCATACACTTCTTATTTAGCCCTATCCCATAGAAAAACTTCTTTGAATCAACGGAATCTTTTTGAATCATGTCCAAATAACTTATACTGAATTTATTTTAGGGCATATTTGTATTTGTTTTAACGTTGGATTCCTTGACGACAAAATTTTCCCGTTTCATTATTTTTGACTCTGAAAAAATAAAGTCAAAAAATGTCTTTGAGTGTGGCCAAAAGAATTCCGTTGATCGCAAGAACACTTTATTTCTGGACGATAGAGCGCGGAGCGGTGTGAGCGGGTAGAGCGCGGCGACCCGTCGTCGTCGCCGCCTGCCCGCCCCGCCTGCCTCGCCTCCTCCTGGCTGAATCTGCCTCGGCAGGCGCTGCTGGGCGGGCGGGCGCCGCCGGTCGGTCGGTATCGCCCGGGTGACACAGCAGACTGGTCGTAAAACTTTGCGCAAGTCAGGTGCAGCGCGTGTCTGCGCGCGGCGGGTACTTTACTTTCCCGATCGCGGCCGCGACGGCATGCATAAGCTGCTGCTGCTGCTGTGACCGGGCGGCGGTGCTTCGTTTGCATGCCATTCTTTTGCGGTTGATCCCAATTTGGCATTCGTAACACGACGTCGTCGTGGTGGTGGTGGTGTGTGTATTAGGTCGAAAGCGATGCAGTTCTACTAGCACCTATTTGCTTCGTGTTGTTCGCGAAAACAATAATTAGAAAGCTAATATGTATTTTCTATGGCTTGTTCTGTGTGGTTTTCACCTTGCTTAGCTCTGCAATTACATTTTAGTTCTCGTTTCGGAGGTAAACTATATCGGCTCCGTCGATGTTAGTCAACAGTTATAAAATATTCGGAAACCGATAACTAATATGTAATATGTGTTTGTCTACCTCATCTTGTTATCATACGCTTGATACGCAGACTAATTACTGTTTAAAAACAGTTTTAGGAACGAATGTGACAAAACTTTTGCCGTAGTTTCAGCAGGTCGCGAAGAGACATAATTAGAGAGATAGTAACAACATTTTTCATTTGCTCGTCAACCTGTTTTTCCAATTTGTTCTCATAACATTCGGTCTTTTTATTATCCCGCAATTGTTCTATTTCTCCCTCAACCAGCCCCTCTTCGCTCCCCTTGACATTTCTCAGCAGGACGGCACTGATCGTGACCTCCGGCCCATCGATGGTCTAGTGAAGCTTCCCATCGCATCCCGTCGTGCCTGCGCGCGTGCGCCTAGCTAGCGCGCCTAGCTAGCGCGCGCCGCGCATGAGTATGGATGAGACACAATGGCTGCGGGTGCGATCACAAGGACCTCCACAGCGCCGCGCTAAGAAGTGTTGTCTAGTAGCCGCAGCTGAAGGTGCAACATTTTAGTGTGTTAATGCCTTTTTGTGGCAGCAGCACTGCAGGACGTCCATATCCTACACTGGCGTTGTCGGCAAGTCAATGTACTTATTCGAAGTGCGGACCCGTAGCACCTTGGGCTCGAAAATACTTCAGAACTATTTACTCTTGATACCTTCACTTCTTGATGGAGAGGTTTATTTTCCAAATTCGTTCAGAAGGCGGAAAAGATTCTTTAGCTTACGAACTACTCTCTCTGTAATGCTAACGAATCCTTTGCAAACGTTATTTTTAAAATTCTTCCAAAGTTTATAAACAGTACATTGTCCTAACCCTATTGATTACTATACATTTTCTGAGTTTAGAAGAATTGTCTTCTAAAGAAGGGTTAGTTCGAGCTCACCTTGAAAAGATGACAAAGCACCTCTCAAGCTCATCCGGTTCAGTCGTTTTTACTGAGAACTATTTTGTCCGTCCCCTCGCCAGCCAGGCGGGTGCGAGGCAGCGTGCCCGGGCCGGGTCGGCTGCGAGCCCGGTCGTCCTTAGCTGTCGCAACACTTTTGGCCGGGGCTGTACGCCCGACCCCGGCCGAAAGGTCATCCTCCACTTACACACACGGTGCGTGTGCGGACGAATACGAAAGGGTTAAAGGCGAAGGGGCGGAGGAGGGAGGCAAAAGAAAAATCTCTGGGTGAAAGAATCGCTTCTCCCGCATGCAAATGACAGATGCGGGATATTCTAACGCTCTGAGGGTTAAAAACATTTTATCTGCCGATTGACAGGTTGACAGAGAAGAACCTGTGACGTGCGTGCACGGCGAAAGGTTAATGCAATCGGTTGCACCGGCTCGGGTACTCGGACCACGTTGGTCTCATTCGTACGAGAAATTTGTCTGGCAAAAGTGATAAGGAAGTGGTCGCGCAGGTATGTGCGCCTTTTTGTGAGTTTCTGGAGCAGAAGTGGATCACGGATAAGTGGATGTTTGATTGTGGCAGTGAATCATTTTAGTGTAGGCGTACAAGAAATTTACTTAGAAAATTGACCTGGAACGTAAATCCTGTAGAAAAGTGGGCGCCTTATTGGAAAAACAAAGGTGCTAAGTTCTACCTTTAAAAAGCGCTAAAACTGCCCAAGTTTGCAAAGGGGCTCATTTTTATCTTTTTGGCAATTTAGTCCTCTGTTTAGTGCCGTTGAGAGGTACTAAACTGAAAATGTGTTTAGTGCCCCAAGAAAGGCACGACTTAGCACCTCTGTTTTACCAGTAGTGCTAGTGCTTACGAGCAAGCAAACCTGCTCGCTGCTCGCAGCGGAGCGTGCAAAGAAACGCTTGCCCCCTGGTTTTAGACGTCACGTAACCTATTCTTGGAAGTACTATTTTTTATAATTTCGTATTCACAAAAGGATAGATTTGTCGAAAATGCTGTTTTTTTTTGTTTTGTTTTTTGTTTTTTTTTGGAAACGCGAAACTTCCGTGAATTCAAGCAGTGGTCCGTTTCCCGCGGGCCAGTTCCCCGCTCTGACAATTAGTCTCGTCTTGGGTGCTAAAATCTGTATCCATGAATAACACCTTCGTCTTATTGTTTCTCCTTCCTACCGGCCAGGGGGGGGGGGGGGGCTAAACAAACTGTGCATGACAGCAGTCTTTGAAAGTGGTCAGAGAATGGGTAGGAAAACAATAATTATTCATCACGTTTCTTTAAAAACTCATAGTTTTGGTTTTGTCAATGGCGAAATTATCAGTTCCACTGCGACTGAATCTAGCTCATGCGTGTGTAGCATGCTTTTTAGATAAATGGCATAAATCTATAACAGGGTAACTGCCTGCTCATCGCGGTGGGAACACCCTTGTTTCACCCATCGCTCTCGCGGGCCCACCGTTACAGCGGCAGGTGTTTGGGCCGACACTTGTTTTTTTCCATCGCCCTGTTGCTGGTGCCCTCTGCTGCTGGTGCCACTGCCGAGATGGCGTGCGGTTTGGTCAGCAGGGGATTACATTGTGGGCTGGGCCGCCGGGCCGGTCAGCGGCCGACGAGCTGCTCCTCTCTGCGGACGGAGCCGTGGTGCAACGACCAGTAGCATCCTGGACCGAGGGTATGGCGTGCGCGTGCGCGCGTGCGCGCGAGCCGATGGCGACGGCATTAAGGGCGAGGCCACGCCAGCAGACGCACCGCATCATACAAATAAATACAAAATTACTTTGTCTTTTTTTTTCAAGGTTATTCTTTAAATGCATTTTCATTTCCCTCGAGCCGAAGCAATGTGTTGCATTTTTTTGTGCTTGTGCTTGCGTGCCTGCTTACCTACCAAAAATGCGTCTGAAACGTCTCGACGCACTGCTTTGATTTGTGTGTGTGTGTGTGATTTGACAGTAGAATGACCTTTTGTCTGGCACTTTTATTCGATGGTGCACATTTTGCACGTTTACTTGTAGTGCGCAAGGCGCGTGCGTGTGTGCTTGAGCACCTGCGCAGGGCGGGTCAGCGCCCAGCACTCCAGCCAAGGCCACGGTCCCCCGCATCAAGATGCACCGACTGTTTCCCATACTCTAGAGGCAGCGGCTTGCCTTGCTGACAGCTGACGACGACAACTGCGCACGTCACCTCGTATTCTCCTTTTTCTCGTCTTCATCATTTCTGCGAATAAAACCAAGAGACGTTGGTTGTTTTTGCGAGCACTTTCTTCGTCGCACTTAATTATTTCTTTTTCCCTCGCTGGCACTGAGCGGACGAGTCTCTTTGTTAACGCGATAAGCCGTGTCTCGCCTCCACTCCACCCACTCACGGGTCCCGCTCACGGGTCCCGCCCGGGCTTTCACTTCCCATGCAAGAAGCACCTGCCAGAAGTGTTCCCAGAGGAGCACGTGCGCATCTATCTGTCTATCTATCTATCTATCTATCTATCTATCTATCTATCTATCCATCTATCTCTATGCAGTCCGTTTTTATCAAGTTTAGCGGCCTTACTCCAATTTAATACTTAAGTTTTGATGAGGGATTAGATAAAATATAAAATGGTGACAATTTTTAAATAATGATGGTGGTGATCGTGTTACTGATGTTGGTGGTGATGATTATAATGATGATGGCAATAATGTTGTTGTTCATGGTACCCTCGAGTTGTTGTCGACTCTAACGCAACCTTCTGCCCTTAGGAGATCACCCACCATGCGTCCCCTGCTGATCGGCGTGGTGCTGGCGCTGTGCCTCTCGGCGCACCTGTCGCACGCAGCCCCAGCAGGCACGGAGCTGGCGGCAGAACATCAGGTGAGTCCAAGTCCACGTGTTCATAAAATTTAATTTAGGATTTTCTTTGTGTTGTTTAGAGGCGAAAAAAAAACACGGGTTAAAAGAAACACAAACAAAAAAAGGTAATTTTGTTTGATAGGGCTTCAGACGGCCTTTTAATAGCAACTTAAGGCACACGCGTGTAACGCTGCCTAAATGTTTTGACCCGTATGGCGATGTGCGGGTGTATTACCCGGAATCACAAAGGCAGTCATTTCATAACGCCATCTACATTGCTAATTAGCAAGAAGAAGTAGGCACGCTCGCCGCGCCCCCCGGGCGACCATCCTCCGATGTATACGAGCTTCTTCGCGCTGGACGGCGAAGACGCATTGGAAAAAAGCTACGGCTGTTTGCTAAATGTTTCTTTCGGTGGGGGGGGGGGAGAAGATAGACACTGAGAGAGAGAGGGGATAGAGGGGAAGAGAAAGAGGAGGGGGGGTGGGAGGAAGAGGGAAGGACGGGGGGATAAAGACGACAAGTGAGTGGGTCACAGGGGTCAGGCGCCCGCGTCTTCCTCAACACTTGCGCGACCTTTGCGGGCGAGCGCAATCTGCCTGCTGCACAGGGACCGCGTCGGACGCCCGCCGTGTCTGGCGTATCTACCGACCATTTCGAGATTTTGTCTACCTGCCTGCGGAGTGCGTCGGGCGCCTCGCCGCGACCGAATAATAAATTATTCATATATCGGTTATGGTCCGGGGCGTGGCGGGGGGAGCGGGGGGCGGCCGCAGGTCGTATTATGAGAGAATGTGCGTTCACTGCGATCGCATCGCTGCTGCGGTCGTTTTCAAGACTGTTGAACGGCAACCGCAGCAGCAGCCTTTTACGACGACAATCATCGAGGCTTTCGCGCGTTCCGAACGCCCCCGCCGCGGCGCAGCACAGCTTCCGCGCCGGCAAATGAGTCATTATACAATTCGATGATTCGCAACGAGGCCGATGAGCCAATTACCCGAGAGGCCCAGACTGAGCGAGCAGCCATGGGAAACTTTTTGGTGCGCGCTCGGCGATTCCAGCGTCGGGATCGTGTGTTTCTCATTATGCCAAAGTCAATGGTCACGACAGCTCCGAGCGCGCTCCGTACTCTTTTTTCTTTCATTTTTCCGGAGGATAATAAGTAAAAAAGAAAAGTACTTTTCCAAAAGGTCCACCACTGGTCGGCACCGGGCGGCTGGCTTTTGTGCCCGCCTCTACGCGAGCAGCGGCGGCAGGTAAACCAGTTAAGCGGGTGCTTATGGTGGCCACTTGCTACTGGAGCGAACCAGAGCGGCGTGTCGGGTGGAGGGGGGTGGCGTGGCGGGCCGCGAGCAGGGAGGTCGCTGCGGGGAGTGCAGCGCGGAATCCTTTCGTGAGCCGAGGCGACGCGGCGCCACGAGGCGGCGGCCGGACCGAACGGAGCCGAAGCGTTATGGCGGGGCAGCAGAATGACACCGAACGGGACGGGAAGCTCCAACGGTGACGCAACACAGACGGACGAGACGGGCGGGCGGGCCGCGAGCAGGGCTCGGCGGCGTGGCGTCGGCTCATCAGCGGGCTGCAAAGGAGAACGGCGATGATGCCAATGTAATTCCTCGCGCTGGCTGAATTGGGTTATGCAGACCGCCGACCTTCTCCGGCGAGCAGGCGGGAGCCCAGAGTGGAGGAGGCGCCCACCGCCGCCCATCTCCATGCCATCCTCTCTGCGCAATATACGCCCCCCGCGCCTTTCGAGGCGGACGTGTCCGGATCGAATCCAGGGGGAGGAGCAAAGGGGGCCCGACGACGACTTGCGGTAGCGCCGACAGTTTCCCTTGGAGCCTGGTTGGTAGGCCAGCGCGCGCACGGGTGCGGGCTAGTTGCCCACCCGCACGGGGGCCCGCCGGCTGGCGGGCCGCTGAGCGCCTGGTGGGTAGGCCAC